CGCGCTGAGCGACGATATAGTCCAATAAGTCCAATTTTTAATTGTTTAATCTTAATCTTAAAATATATACAATGTGGTTGATCACGCTGATTAGGTATTTTATTGATTCTTACAAAGAAGTTGGAAACTGTGTACCTATGTACTTATTTAAAAAAGTCATTTAGAGACTGGTAATGTTACCGAAGATATTAACATTCATACAAATGTATCTAATACGGGAAGACTGATTTTCTAAAATATGTATTTACAGCCTTAAAAGGATTTACTTTTCAAAAATGCAAATAAAAATTGATTTGCTTTGGGTTACAAACGTACTGTTACGATTATCCTTGAAACCTCGTCCGGATATCCCAAATCTCTCGGTTCGTATCGCTGGATTGTTAAATAAATGCAATCGATGACCAAATTGTATTACAATTAACTTTATAGTACAAAAAACAACTTACAATACTCGCTAATACAGTAAAAACACTTTACAATACTTGTTAAAGCAATAACAGCGCTTAACTAAACTTGGTAACACAATTAAACTTATATCTTGCTAATTCGCAACTCGCTTCTCTGCTCACTTTACTTGTAGCTTGCTGTCTTGTAACTAACTCACCTCGCTGTGGCGGCGCCCTTATATACCTGCGCTAGCACTTATGGCAGCTCTAGAACATTCTGAAGTTTATCGCTCATTCTCTTTCTCTCGCTGTTCGCAGTGTTCATCCAACTTGACGTTTCTCTTTGTGGAACATTCTACGTTATTCCTCGAACATTCTGCCTATTTCTTGTTGTTCGCTTTGTGTTGCCGCAGTATTCGCCACACTGCCCTCCACCTAAGTCTGATCGTCCCGATCAGACACACTTGCGGTTCCAAACGCTGCAAGCCTTTCCAAGTGGACCACCTTCATCTTGTTTCTTGGTCTCCCAACAGTCTGGATCCGATACACTACGCCATTTAGCCGTTTTACGACCTTATACGGACCTTCCCAGTTGCATTGAAGTTTTGGGGACAAACCTTTCTTTCGTTGTGGATTGTACAGCAACACCAAATCTTCTTCCTGGAAACCCTCGGAATTCATCGCCTTATCATACCTGGCTTTCATCTTGTCACTCATAATTTGTGTGCGCTGTCTCACAAGAGCATGTATCTCTCTCAGCTCCTCTTCCAGGATGTTTGACGTCTCTTTTCCAATCCTTCTAGCATCACCAGTCACCCCAAACTTCAGATCACTAGGCAAACGGAGCTCACTGCCGAATATTACCCTTGCAGGAGTTTTACCCGTTGTTTCATGCACTGCTGACCGGTATCCCATCAGGAACAAGGGTATGCGGACATCCCAATCTTTTTGATTCTTGTCCACGACCTTCCGCAAATGCTCTTCCAGGGTTCGGTTGAACCGTTCCACCATGCCGTCTGATTGGGGATGAAGAGCCGTCGTTCGAGTTTTCCGGATACCCAGTATCTGGCACATCTCTTGGAACACCGCAGACTCAAAATTTCTTCCCTGGTCAGAGTGCAGCTCTATAGGTACACCGTATCTCGCAACCCAATTGTAGGTGAATACCCCCGCTACTGTTTTTGCTTCCTGGTTTGGAATCGGGTATACCTCCGGCCATTTGCTAAAGTAGTCCATAACCACAAGGACGTATTTGTTTCCCTGTGCGCCCATAGGAAATGGACCGGCTACATCCATGGCAATCCGCTCGAAAGGTGCACCTGAGTTATATTGCTTCATCTGGCCATGACTTCTGGATTTCGACCCCTTAGCTGCAATACACTCCGCGCAGTTAACAATCCACTCTGCGACCGATTTCCGACAACCAACCCAATAGAACCTCTGCTTAACCTTCTCCATGGTCTTCGTGATTCCCAGGTGCCCTCCACTAGGACCATTGTGGAATTCCTTGAGTACATCCGGAATTCTTACCCTTGGAACTACTATCAGGTTAAGGGAGCACTGGCCATCTTCGCTTTCCCATACCCTATGCAAACAGCCAGATATTAATTTTAAGCTGTTCCATTGTGCCCAGTACGCCTTTGCGATGGGGCTTTCCGCTGCCATTTGCTTCTTAGTTGGCCTCCTATCCACCTCCAGTCCATGCATCAAAAGCTCCAGATCTAGATCTTCCTGCGGACTTTCGTAGCTGTTCTTCCTTCCACTCTTCCGCTGGTGTTATTGTCGTTAGACGGACGTCTATAATGTCCTCTTTTCCCTCAACTTTTGAGCAGTGTTTACATTCCAGGCTACAACGTCGGCGGGACATGGCATCAGCATTACGGTGGACACTTCCCTTTCGGTGCTCAATAGCGAAGTCATAACTTTGCAGTCTCTCAATCCACCGAGCTAGCTGTCCTTCTGGATTCTTAAACTGTAGTAGCCACTTCAGCGCTGCATTGTCCGTTCGAACTCGGAAACGTTGCCCATAGAGGTACTTGTGGAAATGTTTGACGCAGTCCACCAACGCTAGTAGTTCTCTCCGAGTTACGCAGTAGTTCCTCTCTGGTTTTCCAATCGACCGGCTATAGTAGGCAACTACCTTCTCCTGCCCATCAATTACCTGCGACAGTACGCCTCCTATGGCATAACCACTAGCATCCGTATCCAAAATAAACGTTGCACCTGGAACGGGATACGCTAGCATAGGTGCAGTACATAGTCGTTCCTTCAGAGTCTGGAAAGCCTCCTGCTGCTCCTTGTTCCACTCGAAGGATCTATTTTTCCTAGTGAGCTCGTGGAGGCTATTAGCAACGCTGGCGAAATTCGGAACAAATCGGCGGTAGTAGGTGCATAGCCAAGAAAACTTCGTAGTTCGTGCAGGTTCCTAGGTCTTGGCCAATCCTTTACTGCTTCTATCTTTTCCTTCGCAGTACAGATGCCCTCCGTTGTCACCTTGTGCCCTAAATAGTTTACCTCCTTCCTGAACAGTGAGCACTTCTTAGGACTTAGCTTCAGACCAGCGCCAGCTATCCTCTGGAAAACTTCCTCCAAATTGTTCAGGTGTTCCTCAAAGCTTTTACCCAATACGATAATGTCGTCTAGATACACCAAACATGTTTTCCAATGCAGTCCTTTGAGCACATGGTCCATAAGTCGTTCAAAAGTGGCAGGAGCGTTGCATAATCCAAAGGGCATCACCGTGAATTGCCATAGACCGTCTCCTATGCTGAAAGCTGTCTTCTCCTTATCCTCGTCACTTACCTCCACTTGCCAATAACCGCTCTTAAGGTCGAGTGTTGAGAACCACTTTGTTCCAGTCAACGAGTCCAGAGTGTCATCGATCCTGGGAAGAGGATAGCTGTCCTTTTTCGTCACATCGTTTAGTTTCCGGTAATCTACGCAGAACTGCATTTGACCATCCTTCTTCTTCACAAGTACTACCGGCGAACTCCATGGACTCGCTGATGGTTCAATCACACCACTCTCGCTCATTTCTTTTATTATTTGGCTAACAGTTTCACGTTTGGCAAGTGGAACACTCCGAGGAGCTTGTCGGATTGGCCTTGCATCGCCAGTATCAATGCGATGTTTCACAACGTTAGTCCTGCCTGGTTTGTCGCCATCCTTGTCGAATATGTTGCAGTATCTTCGGAGAAGTTCCTTAGCCTTGTGCTGGTATTTTTCTTCCAACTCTTCCGTCCATGCATTAATGTCTTCCGCAATGTCATTCTCGCCAATGGAATCGCTTTCAGGTAACTTTTCGCAGTTGAAGATTGCCTCTACCTCTCGACATTGCCCCAGTACAGTTCCTCTTCGGAGTTTGACTGGTGATTTGAACTCATTGAGCACTCGAACTGGGATGCGTCCATCCTTTTGCGTCCTAGCCAAGGTTTTACCAATAAGTACGTCCGGTGTAGAATTTTGTGTTGCTTCAACAACCCACAATTTGTTCGTCCCACAATCTCCATCAATCTTTGCCCACACAACTACTTCTGACTTCGGGGGAATCTGCTCGCTTTCCTCTAGGATCACTCGCTTGCTGCTGTATGGACCATCATACCCAAACCGAAGGGGCACTTCCATATTGTTATACGTCATAGCCCTGTTCTTCATGTTGATCTGCATACCTTGATCAAGCAAGAAGTCTAATCCAAGGATGACTTCATCCGTAATCGCTGCGACTATGAACTTGTGTAACACCGTCACATTCCCTATTGCGACTTTGCATGTTACCTCTCCTACAACTTGGGTGTCCTCACTGTTAATTTACGGAACAGTTTATTCAATAAATGCAATTCAAGTTACAGCAGATTCCTTAAGATTAATTTGTCTAATGGAACGACTTGTAAACCCGCGTGGTAGCTATTAGCAGCAAAAGCAATGGAATGAATTGAAAGTCAAAAAGGTTACCCAATTGCTGCCACGTTGATTTACAATGGAAGTTCCTAAATAGGGTTGCCAGAAGGTTTTACACTTCTTACATTCCTCTGGGCTTAATTTTCTGTATATATTACAAAATTAATATATATTTTTTAAAGATTTAATTTAACAGGTTTCTTTCTTATCCTTTGCGAACGTCTGAGCGGCGTTAATGGTGAATTGGTACTGGTTTTCGGTAACTGACGATATGTCTGCTCGTTATTAGGCGGCGTCTGCGTAGTTGAGTGATGAGGTGGTTCATCGCGAGGCACTTGTGTACTATTTTTTCTCGATAAGGAGTCTGCAGGTTCCAAATCAATGTCAACATCGACTTGTTCTGACGACTCATTTAGTTTGTTACCTCTCAGCTGGTTTTGATGCCGGCGGATCCAACCAGTAGGGGTCTGCAAGACATATAGCTTATTTCCCTCACACTTCAGTACTTTGGCCTCGACCCATCGTCGGGCACCAGAATAATTTCGCGCAAAGACTTGTTCTCCACTTTTGAATTTCGTTGGTTTTGGGTTACATATTTTCTCATTGACTACGGGGAACAAGGTCGACAGTACGGTTCGTGGCTGTCGTCCATGCAACAGCTCAGCCGGTGATTTACCCGTCAAGGGATTCGGGGTCGTTCGATATGTCGTGAGATATTTATAGAGCGCTCGCTCCACTTGTTGTTCCTCTTTCATTATTTTGCTGAACGCTTCTTTGAATGTTCGCACATTTCTCTGCAAGGCCGTTGGATGCTGGATGGAACGGAGGAGTGGTGAGGTGCTGGATATTATTCAGCTTGCAGAAACTTTCAAATTCGTGTGCCGTGAATTGGGGTCCATTGTCCGAGACGATAGTGCAAGGCAGTCCCTCAATTGAGAAAATACGTTGTAGTGCTGCGATTGTTGATATTGATGATGTGGATGCAAGTTCCACGATGTACGGGAATTTTGAATAAGCATCCACCAGAAGCAGCCACATTCGATTAAAAAATGGTCCCGCAAAATCCACATGGACTCTTTCCCACGGTGTCATAGGTTCGGGCCAGGTCGAAAATTCCCGTTTGGGTTGCCTCCCATTTGTCTGGCAAATAGCGCAATTGTCGTGAATACGTTCTATGTCCTTGTCGATGCCAGGGAACCATACGTAACGCCTTGCCTTCATTCGACTTTTTCCCCAATGACCCTCATGCAGCATTGCCAGTACCTTATTCCGTAAGGCGCTTGGGATTACTACTCTTGTATGCTCAGTGTGAAGGAGTAGTACATCACTCTGTAAGGATAACGAAAACTTGCGATTAATATATGGTAGGAGTTTACCTTCAGAATTCGAAATGTTGACGGGCCAACCGTCTCTAACATAATTTTGCAAATGCGTTTAAGTGTTTCATCTTTCTTCGTATACTCCTTGACGATTTCAGCATTCAGCGGAAACCCTTCTACTGTGATCTGATAAGCGGTATCGATATTTTCCCAGCTACTTTCCTCCTCATCGAACTCCGGATCGTTTCCCGCTGGCAATCTGGAAAGCGCATCCGCGTTGGCATTTTCGTTAGACTTTCTGTAACGTATTGTATATTCGTAGGCCTGTAGTAAAATCGCCCAACGTTGAAGGCGATGTAGCGTCATCACTGGCAGTCTTTTACATGGATGAAATAATGTCGTTAACGCTTGATGGTCCGTGAGGAGTTCAAACTTTCTTCCGTAAAGATATTGATGAAATTTAGTTACCCCATATATAAAGGCTAATGCTTCCTTCTCTACTTGGGAGTATCGCAATTGACTGGTGTTGAGGGTTTTAGACGCATGTGCAATTGGTTTTTCCGAACCATCGGAATAGCGATGTGATATCACAGCACCAATGCCTCAAACTACAGCCAGTATTATGGGTTGACGGTCATCGTAATGGACTAGCTGCGTATTTTTGATGATTGCCAGTTTCAGAGATTGAAAAGCGGTTTCTTGGCTCGAAGACCATTTAAAGTGGTTGTGTTTCCTTCTCAAGATGTTTAACGGGGCGGCAATACTTGCGAAGTTTCCCACAAACTTGTTATAATAATTTATCTTTCCAATAAATGCTTCTAGTTCGTGAATATTTTGCGGTCGGGGCATAAGTTTGATCGCTTCAATTTTCTTTTCGGACGGTAGTATCCCATTAGCATCGATGATATGTCCCACATACTCAACTCGATCTTTTGCAAAACTGCACTTTGCTAACTTGCACTTTAGCCCGTGGTTCAATAATCGTTGAAAAACGGTTCTAACGTTGTCCATATGCTCCTCGTTGGTTCGACCCGACACAATAATGTCGTCCAGATACACGGCACTATGTGGGATCCCGGCTATCACATTCTCCATGAGGCGCTGAAACAGCCCCGGTGCACTAGCTATACCAAAAGGCATACGTTGGTATTGGTATAGTCCAAATGGGGTGTTGATTACCAAAAACTTTTTGGCTTCTTCTGATACCTCCACTTGAAGATAAGCTTCACTTAAGTCGATTTTTGTAAAGAATTTACCGTTTTGCAGTTTGTGGAAGAGTTCTTCTATCCTGGGTATTGGATATCTATCTATTTCAATTTGAGGATTTACCGTTACCTTGAAGTCAGCACAAATACGCACACCTCCCTTCGGTTTCTTGACCACGACTATCGGCGCGGTCCACTCACTTGCTTTAATTGCTGTTAAGACCTTTGCCTTAACCAGCCGCTCTATTTCATCGCGGACTTCATCGTATTGTGCAAACGGTAGGTTGTATGGTTTATAGAATTTCGGCCGAGCATCTGGCTTGAGCTTAATTTCAGCTTTAAACGTCGTGCAAGGACCCAAATCCGCTGAAAAAATCTTTTGATATTCGCGAGCGAGTTGCTGCAGCTCAACGATCAAACTTGTTTCTGATGCCCGACCAGTAATGTAAGAATTATTAGCATAACACTCTTCGGTGGGTATAACTAAACTAAAATTTAACGCTTGAAACCAATCGAGTCCCATAATATTTGTCGCTTTATCACTCTCTACTAAAAGTACTGGAAGCCTCTTGGTAGTTCCTCCGTGAGTAACATCAACCTGGATAACGCCTCTCAGTTGTATTATGCTTCCTCCGTACGCCTTCAAATCTTTCTGAGTAGGCGAGTACGGTGGTCTTCCCAACTGAACATATGTGGATAACCCGATTAGAGAACACGAAGCGCCTGTATCCACCTGAAACTTTAGGCTTTGCTTGTTTACGTTGAGTTTGACAAATACTTTTGTAGGCTTGTCCTCACTATCTACTGAATTTATGGTTTCGAGCAATCCAATTGATTCGAACGATGCTTCGTTCACATCAAGGGTATTCGCAGTTTCTTTTTGCCTGAACCTTATAAACTGTGTCGGTTGCCTTGAGGTTTTCTCCACGAATCTCGCTGCAAGTCTTTACCGTCGACTCGTATATAGTTGCAATTTGTAGCACTTCATCTAAGGTCGGATTTGTTTTTTGAAGCGCTGTGCTACGGACCTTATCATGTGGGGTGTGCATCACTATCATATCCCGTATGCTGTTATCGATGAATGATTCGTTGCAATTTTCTTTCGAGCACTGAAAAATACACTCCTTAGCTGCTCCCCGGAGTTCTGCCACCCAGTCCGCATAACACTGGTTTGATTTCATTCTGATGGAAAAAAATTTGAAACGCGCGGCGAGCACGTGCTGTTTCTCGACAAAATGTGTAGATAGTTTTGCCAATAGCTCACTGTAAGACTTCCCTTCTATTACGTTATCGCATAATTTCTGCAGAAGCTCAAAGGTCTCCGTGCCTATGCACGACAGAAAACTTGCCCGTTTAAGAGTTTCGTTTACAACTCCATTCGCCACGAAGTGCTGCTCCATTTGCTGGATGTAGGTAGGCCATTTTTCGATACTTTTATTAAACTGCCTGAACACAGGCGTATTGCTCGTATGTGTGTCACTTTCAAGTACACGTTGAAGCGATTGTACATTTTGCTCAAGCACTTTCGCCAGTAATGCTTGGTTTGCCCCTTGAAATTGACTCAGAACTGACGCAAGGGTTTTTTCGTCCATGTTCTCGTCGCCAAATGTTAATTTACGGAACAGTTTATTCAATAAATGCAATTCAAGTTACAGCAGATTCCTTAAGATTAATTTGTCTAATGGAACGACTTGTAAACCCGCGTGGTAGCTATTAGCAGCAAAAGCAATGGAATGAATTGAAAGTCAAAAAGGTTACCCAAGTGCTGCCACGTTGATTTACAATTCGATTGGATTCGTCTCCTTCAGTCCTGCGTTTGCGTCCTGCTGAATTGTTGAGCGCACTGGAGCTTGCGCTGCAATCGCGGGCGAAGTGGCCTGGCTTTCCACATTTAAAACATTTGCCAGAGCCATGCTTTTTCTCACCCAGCAGTTGGATTCGCTTCTTCAGCATTTCCTTTGTCTCGTCCGGTGTCTCTACTTCCACGCGATGTGCTTTGTAGGCTGGTCTACTTAGGAGCGCCGCCGTTTCACGCGTCTGAGCATACGAGACAGTTTCAGCAAATGTTGGCTTGGGATTCGCGTACGTCTCTCGCTTGGTATACACGTCCCGCATTCCGTTGATAAACCTCTGGATTTTTACTCTTTCGAGGTGCTCACCAGATGCGTCTCCAATTGCCAAATGAGCCAACCTTTCAACCTCAGAGGCGAATTCCTGTAAAGTCTCGTTGGATTTCTGGCAGCGATTCTCCATTTCCATCTGGTAAATCTGCTTCCGGTGCTCGCTACCATAACGTCTTTCCACTGCACCCATTAACGCATCGTAACTGTTCCTTTCACAGTCGGGAATAGTCTGCAAGATTTCTGCCGCAGGTCCTTTCAATACAACGAATAGTGCAGCGGATTTATCCTCCATGCTCCAATGATTTGCTGCAGCCGTTTTTTTCGAGCTGGAGCTTAAAGACCTGGAAAGGAATCGTGCCGTCAAAGGATGGGGTTTTTACCTTGGGTGCGCTCGTCGAAGTAGCTGGACGATTCAACTGCAAGTCTCGGAGTCGACCTTCTAACTCGCCCATCTTAGCCTCGACTTTGTCCTGTCTCTCTTCGATTTTTTCCTGTATTTGTACAATCTTTGCATCCTGTGCTTCCAGTTGGGATGACATCTGTGCTGATACCGCTGCTGATATACGTATCTCCAGCGCTTGTATCTGCGATGAAACATCTGACGATTGTGTTTGCATCTGAGTTGACAGCTGTGCTGACATCTCTGACATGCGTGTATCCTGTGCTTGCATCATCTGTGACATGGCAGCCAATAACGTGTTCATGTCCATAACTGTTTGCTGTTCTTCAACCTTCCCGGATGTCTGCTGCACATCCTTCGACGAACATGCAGCCTCATCCTTTGCGGATGTATCGTCGGGTTTACCTTGGAAGTCGTATTTGTCCACTCACCTCGCTGTGGCGGCGCCCTTATATACCTGCGCTGGCACTTATGGCAACTCTAGAACATTCTGAAGTTTATCGCTCATTCCCTTTCTCTTGCTGTTCGCAGTGTTCATCCAACTTGACGTTTCTCTCTGTGGAACATTCTACGTCATTCCTCGAACATTCTGCCTATTTCTCGTTGTTCGCTTTGTCTTGCCGCAGTATTCGCCACAGTACCATGAACGAAAGACACAAGATCACGCCTTCCCGAAAGAAAGAAAAAAGTTATTTTCTAGCTGTTGAAATCTCGACGCCATCTTTGTTGGAAGAAGTAAACAACGAAGAGAACAAAAAAGAAAACCGCGTAATTGGTGAACCCATGAATAATCATTTTTATTATGCAAATTCTTTTATAAATCATGTCGTTGTGTTAAATTATTCTTTACCTTATGTGTGCACACGTTGTCACAAGCGAAAATTAAGAAAATTGCAGTAAAAAGCCACCATCAAATTGTAAACAACGAACAAATGTAAACAAACGGCTTATGTCAAAATCGCCCTACTTTTTTCATAAGTGCGATTATAACGGGCCACTCTTCTGCTGTCGTGATCTTGTCTTTTTGGTTCATGCCACAGTACCATTTAAAAGAATTTGTGATGACCTGTATTGTTAATCTAATAAAAAATTTTGTTATTTTTCCTTACATTTGGTAACCTTTTCGTCTAATCTTGGTTAGAAAGTTCTTTGAGCGGCGGCAACACTGCTAACAAGTACTGTGAGTTACATCCCTGAAACTTCCATTTTCATTTCTCGTGTACACAGAGGAGGAGCGACAACAACAGAGTTAAGTGACGGAATGGAGCACGGAAAACTTAAAAAATTGTGGGGATTAAATTAAATTAATTTAAATTGAGTGAAAATTGTGTATATAATTGGAATTTTAATCATGAAATCCACATAAAAGTTTAGTGGTTGCCCCGAATTTTTTCTAAGGTTTCAAGAAAATGTGTGCGTGGTTAGAAAAAGTAAGATGAAAACGGTGCTGTGGAAAAAGCATTATTTTCTACGCAGGAGTGGCATCATGAAGCCCAGGAGAAACGAAAATTTAGTGTAGAAAATAAATTTCCGAATTGTTTATGCAGTTTTATCGATATAGTTTTCTTAAAACTAAGGCTTTCTGTTCAGTTTTCGCAAAGACAATTCCGGGAAGTTGGCCACATACTATTGGTAAGGGGTATTGGATATAACGACTGTGGAGTTAGTGTGTTTGTATATATGTATATTTACCTATACAAAAAGTTTACAAAGAAAAAGTAAAAAACGAACAGTTAAAGTGAAAGCTATTAAAAAGGGAAATCTACGAAAACTGCTTTTATAGTAGAGTTTAAATAAGTGTGGAAGGTGGAACGTACATCTTTTGAGGGGAAAAAGTGTAAACATTTGAAGGGCTTGTTATGGCGGGTAGGAACGTATAGCAGCTGCCACACAGGCTTTGAATGAATAATATACCGAAAAATTAGAACTAGAAGAATTTTCTTAAATAGTTCTGTTTAAAAAATCGTGTTTCGCGTCGAAACTTCTATCTTTACACGACATTCGTTTAAAACATTTAAAAACAAGCAGTGAAGATGTCCAGTTGGGCGCGTCGTGCAGCAGACATTAGCAATGTTGTCACATCATGCGGACATCCCGGTACTTCGGCACCAGATTATACATATCGACTGGAGAAAGTCAAATTTGGTGTACCATTGGAGGAAGTTTGCAAAAACAACGAAAACATTCCCGGACCATTACTAGTCCTTATACTTAAGCTTAATAAAGAATCGCCAAATAAGCGAGACGTATTCCGGGCGCCTGGCCATCAAGGTGCTATGAAAAAACTTATTCACTTCTTGCAATCAGGACGATTAGTAAATGTAGACAACTATTCAGTTTATACTATTGCCAGTGTTCTAAAAAAATTTTTGCGAAAAATTCCTAATGGAATATTTGGGAGGACTGGTGAGAAGGAATTGTTTGACATAATTGAACTGGAAGACGAATCAGAACAAACGGATCGTTTGCATAGGTGAGTAGTCTATTATCTCTATAACTAGCAGAGCGCCCTACGTCGTTCGGTGTAAACAAATAAAAACACATATCGTCGTTTAAAGTGCAAAACCGCGTATCAACAAAATGCAAAACCGCTTATCAACAAAATGCAAAACCGCGTATCAGCAAAATGCAAAACCGCGTATGTGAAGTTGTAGAAATTATTTTCTAGAGCGTAAAAACACCGACATTTCAAAATTGTTCTATTTTTTATAAAACAATCGCATTTCTGGCTAGTATATTTCAGGACTAATGGATAAGGATTGAGCCAAGAGCTTGTGTGAGCAAATCCAATTTTTGGCAGCCAATGTCAGTTACGCGGTTTTGCAGAATGACGATACGCGGTTTTGTACTTTAAACGACGATATGTATAAACAGACAAATGTTTGATTTACTATAAATTAAAGGAGACAAGATGGGTGGACTTTAGTATTAAGCCGCACCTTTTGTTTTAAGAAAACCAGGTGGATTTAACAAATTAAACTTCGTCAGGATGTTAAGGGAGGTATCCTCTAAAACATGTATGACTAAAAAATATAAACAATACAATTGTTTATAAGTTATTTGTTGTTAGAAATTCTTAAGTCGTTCCACTTGATTTCCTTATCAAAAAGTGCATGCACATAACACTACATAATAGTTTGCTCACTTTTATTTTAGTTTATCTTGTATATAAATCACTTTAATCCAACTTTTATTAACTTATAAATTACATTGAATTACACCCATAAGTATTTACAATAACACCTGAGGTTCTTTCCCTAACAATCCGGACCGGATCCCTTAATTAGAGAATAAGCGAAAAGTTTGCTCTCAAAAATAGAACATAATCCAGAAGTACGGGAACGCAAAAAACCACATTTCGTGCCCAGAATTTGAGAAACAGCTGATTCGTCCTCTGACTCGACGAGCCTGAGGCCAAGTAAGCGGGCGGCGTCTATAGGCGGGGTCCATAATGCTTCAGGTGTCCGGGAACAAATGCAGTTGGGCTCCAAATCTCAAAAAAAAAAAAAAAATGGAGTCGATAGAGATGATTGAACTGAGTATAACGGTATACCTCTTTTTTTTGCAAAAATTATCAAAGGTTAAAGTTCAAAATAAGCAATT